CCTTTATCGTTACGGTTGTTTTCCACATTTAAATATCTAAAAATGAATAGTTATTAAAAATAGGAAACACTTCGGGCTGAAAATGTTTCATTTTCACGACGCGTTTCAACAATAGCATTTGTGTCTCCTCGATAAGACAAATTTTAAAAAGAAAGCATTTGTGGCTAGGTGTTAAAAATATGCCGATCTTACACTCATCGACAAAACTTAAGGAAGTTGTACATTTTAACATGTATATCGGGACAATAACTCTGAAAGATATTACAGTGACCTTTATTGAAGACACACGAGATAACCAAGTGTGTATACACTCATGGACAAAACTAAAGTAAGTTGTACCTTTTAGCATGTATATCAGGATTCAGACAATAACTCTGAAAGATATTACAGTGACCTTTATTGAAGACACACGAGATAACCAAGTGTGTATACATTAATAGACAAAACTTAAGTAAGTTGTACCTTTTAGCATGTATATCAGGATTCAGACAATAACTCTGAAAGATATTACTGTGACCTTTATTGAAGACACACGAGATAACCAAGTGTGTATACACTCATGGACAAAACTTAAGGAAGTTGTACATTCTAGCATGTATATCGGGACAATAACTCTGAAAGATATTACAGTGACCTTTATTGAAGACACACGAGATAACCAAGTGTGTATACACTCATGGACACAACTTAAGGAAGTTGTACCTTTAAGCATGTATATCGGGACAATAATTCTGAAAGATATTACAGTGACCTTTATTGAAGACACACGAGATAATCAAGTGTGGACAAAATTACCTCTGTCTCCTTCAAAAAATAAAATTAAAAATAAAATAGAGGACCGGCGACATCAAAATATGAAATTTCCTTAAGTTTTACAGCCTTTTATTCTCGATATAGATATGCAAATTAATACCCTATATACGAGGTGTGTTCAAAAAATATCGCGTAATTGAATTTTCGCAGGTTACGTATATTCGAATTTCGATCTTTTTGTGGCTTTATGTTGGTACTCATGTCTCTCACTTATGCCGACAAGCTCGGCCATTTTGAATGTTCACTTAATTGTTGACAGCTGCTTTGCTTGCAGGTGTTTTGGATTGTCTTCGATTTTTACCTATTAAAAAATGGATCAAAGAACCTGTATCAAATTTTGTGTGAAAAACGAAATTAGGTGCGCGGATGCATTCCGAATGTTGACTGTGGCATACGGAGAAGCTACCTTGGACCGAAGCAACGTTTATCGGTGGTACAAAATGTTCTCAGAAGGCCGAGAAGATGTGAACAACGAAGAGCGTGTCGGACGCCCGAGCACTTCAACAACAGACGAAAAAATTAATGAAGTGGAGAAAATGATATTGGCCAATCGTCGAATCACCGTTAGAGAAGTTGCTGAGGACCTAAACATATCGATTGGCTCGTGCCATTCGATACTTTTTGAACACACCTCGTATATATATATATATGTTATGATAAAATATTTTGTTGATCAGAGATTAATTACTGGTTCTTCGTACTAATGGCTTGCAGTGTGAGTATTTTGTGATATTGCTATGTTATTGCAGTCGTGATGAAATAATAAAAACAATTGTAATCACAATTTGCTTTAATTGAGTTGATGAAAATAATAAAGGAAGAAATGCCCGACTTGAGGCGAGTAGAATAGACAAAACAAAAGACATATTTACATAATTACAAAATATTTGAGCCGGACAACAGGAAACAACAACAATAGGTTTATATAGGGAAAGCCACGACAAGTTATAGAGTAGTGTTTGTTCTAAAAGTTATAATTCTCATGAGTCTGTAATCAATGACTATTTACAATACACAACACTTATTAATGTAAAATAAAAAGGCATCTCCATATCGTGCAAAATGCCTTTTTCTTTATTTATTCACCTAATCCAAGAACAATTTCACACTTTGGTACTTTTTTTCACTAATCATAAAGATAGAGGCTGCCTGGTCGGCAATCATAGTTCTTAGAATTGAAGATATTTCGGTCAGTAAATCACTCATTAAATGTATTTTCTAAAAAAAAGAAATCTTTCTTTGTATAGTGACCTGGTTTGTTCCCTTCGTGACAAACTCACCTTACACCCATCTGTCTCACCTAAAAGGAAAGTTTAGCGTGAAAGCACGAATCAGTACACACTCGGGTCAATACTGGAAAAGACATAGTCACCATGATATCTGTAACCTAGTATTCCTATACATCCTACTTTCTCTGTTTTTGAATTTTTCCTAGAAGAAGCTTGGAGAACAGCCTCTTCGAATTATTGAAATTTATTAAATATTTTGATCCAAAATATGCCCTTATTTTAATTATTATAAATGGATTTCTCTATTACGATGCACTAGCGCGCCATCTGTTATCAAATTACAAAACTATTTTAGAGGCGTAATATTATTTTTAAAATTAAACAATTTCTACTGTCCTTACTGCAATGGAAAAATTAAAGGGAGGGCCTGGCTCATCAGTGGTGAACCCTCCCAGCGGTTTCGCCAGTTTTGGATTTCTCTATATTCAACATATAATATTATCCAACACAGTAAAACATAAGAGAATCAGAGATATTTATATAGACAGAATGAATTGAATTATATATAACAAGAAGCCTTATATTGATGTCCTATACCCTATACAGGATTCCCCCAGGTGTTATACTTTCTCTGTTTTTATTTTATTGTTATTATCCCCGTGGTACAGACCATGATAATCATGATGGGTAGAAGTAGGTGACTGATTTTGGTTTCTCCTTTTTGGTTACTTGCACTCGCTGGTGGGGTTGGACTTTTACAATTAGAAAAAAAGTGTCCAATGCAGTATGCAATGCCTGTGGTACAGGCCATGATAATCATGGTAGGTAGAAGTTAGCGAACTGCTTTTACTGTAAGTGTACCACCACATGTCTAATCAGGTGAAAAGCAGTTCGAATTTTGCACTTCTTACAAATGTGCAAGATCCTCCCTTTAGTTATTTGTACTCGCTGGTAGGGTTGGAATTTTGCAAGAATCTAAGGCCATTTGAGCATTTTTTTAAATTAGAAAAAAATGTCCAATGCAGGAATCGATCACGGGTAGTAGCGGTCGAAAACCAACGGTTTAGACCATCCTTCCACCGATCCCCTATTTTCTCTGGTGATACTATGAAACCTAAAGCCACGCTCACAGAATATTGGAAGGAAGACTGTTGCTTAGTTTAATGATTCCATATGCCAATTTTATTCTTAAAGAAAAAATGCAGCATATATGTAGATATGTATTAATTTTCTGATAGAAAATAAAATATGTAAAAGGATTTGATGTATATAGAATGTAAGAGTAGAGCGAAAGTATCTTTTTTATAGAAATAAATAGTTTATACCTTATAGTGTTCGTCAAGTGCTATTTTTGTTAGGTAGAGAACACAACACTTAGAATGTGAGTTAGGCAGAGATGATATTCAAGATTGGGCTGTTCTATTTTGTTCTTCGTTGCTAACGTCATCATAGGGAAAGACAAAAATTTGTAACCTCATAAGTCTATCAACGTATCAAAGACTTACAAGATTTTCTCTTTTTCATTGGCTGATAAGATATCTGTCTACTTGTACTATTTATACAACCAGTTCATTAGAGATGAGGTAAGAATATAGACATAAAACGAAATGACAATGAAAAAGGTTCTTCAAATTAAAGTTACTTCGGCCAGTAAATCTTTTTTTATTATCTCGACGTTTCGACAAAAATATTTTGTCTTCGTCAGGAGCGAACAAAAATCAAAACATTTGGCAAAGCGTTAAAAATTATTCTAATGTTTCAAGGGCATTCTCAAGCGATATTTCAAATTTTATACAACATCTAAAGCACGAGTCAAAAATAAATATTTAACTCACAAAAGACAATGATATTTTTGGGGCTGTTACAACATTTATAATTATGAAAATATAGTGTATATTGAGATCTTTCTAATGAATATAACAGCATAAACAGGAAGATACCATCACAATACCTTAGATATCTTAGAAGAAATCAATAGATCAATTTTATAGGTTCTGGTTGCCCTGAAAATAGACATATTTCATTACATTGTTAAATTACATATCAATTTAAAATTTCAGTAGTAAATATCCACGTTTGTATTTGTAAATATATTTCTTGTAGAATATAGTCGATATTTATAATTAATATAATGCGAAATTATATAACAAAATAAATATAAAATAATATTTATAAAGATTTCACAATAGTATAAATAAATCTATTTCTATTATATATAATTTACTGGCCGAATTGTCTTTAATTTGAAGAATTATGAATGCCGGCCAGGTAGCATCTATCTTTACGGTAATGAAAAAGGTTTTTATTAACTTCTAGTAAACAGTTTGAAGAAAATTTTATATAAACAAAATATAATAAAATCAAAAATTCAAAATTACAATTTTATTTTATCAGACGAATCCCACTGGGTATCGTCTTGTTCAATGTCGCATTCTGTCCTGAAGTCGGACAGCATCTTGCCTAGGACTAGAAGAAAGTATTATGTGCCAATACCATATTACTTTATATAGCTGTGATTACTTCTATATAATTTTATTCATTATCATTACTCTTCACAATTCACCCTTTCATACCTCATCCCAAAGGTTAGAAATAATCGTTATTTCTCCCCTGAAATAAAATTTTGATTTTTCGTTGAAAAGAAACACGTGCGGAATAGTTTTAAAATGTCGTTTTACAATCACAAGCCGCATTATATTATATTGTATTATAAATTACTTCTATATATGTAGTAATATATGTCAATATACACTATATTTCCATATGTAACATTATTATAAATACAATATAATGAGGCTTATGATTGTAGAACGACATTTGAAATTATCCCGCATATGTTTCTTTTGAATGATAAATCTAAATTTTATTTTAAGGAGAAATAACGATTATTTTTTAACCTTAGGAATGAAGTATGAAAGGATGAATTGTGAAGAGGAATGATAAACGGAAAAATAAAAGTGTCCAGGGATGGGAATCGAACCCACAGTGTTCCGCTTACCGGGCCATGCCATGTCCACTTGGCTACCCTCTGGACATATTTCTCCTAAATTTCGATTTTTCATTCAAAAGAAACACATGCGGGATAATTTCAAATGTCGTTCTATAATTATAAATGTTCTAACAGTCCTAAAATATAGATACAATTTAACTAGCCAGTTTGGCCATCATGTAATACAAAACAAAGTAATAAAGTTTTATTGAGAGTCCGCCACACCCAAGACCGGACAGACAACCAACGATATCAAAGACTTTCCACTTCCTTAAGATTTGTCCACAAGTGGAAATATATATCGACTTATTGTTGGTTTTTAATTGTTCCATATTTGGTCAGATACCTTTTTCTGATGATGGTGCAAGCTATCAGCAACTTTTAAAGTTGCATAATCGAGAGATATCCTTTTTCTTTACATTTATCAACTTGATATTGGACACAATTTCACTTTGGAACTATTCTTTTCATATTAACAATAATTCTTTATCTTCCACGATTTCATGAATCTTTGTTTTTTTAAGATAAATGGTCGACATATTTACATATTGCTTTGTATATGTAAATACGACGTGAATGTTTCTTTTTCATAAATAATTCAAACTTCTACTGTCCTTACTGCGATGAAACAATATTGAGAGGACTTGGCTCATCAGAGGTAAACCCTTCCAGCGGTTTCGCCAATTTAATCTACCAGACCGCTTCTTTTGAGCTCTAATACTGTATTGGATCATTCTATTTTTATATGCTACACTGAAGGGTGGAATCTTAGAAATGGTATTTAAGCAAACTATGGACATAAGCTTTTAGGACAGTGGAATTACATTCAAATATTTGCATCGAGCAATGCTCTTCCGTAAACAATAAGGACAAGTCAGGCATACATTAATACAAAGCAATAACGCGCCATCTATATATAACGAATGAAGACCTTAAGACCTGAATGTTTCTTTTACAAATAGTTCGAACGTTTACTGTCTTGTTTGATACAAGTATTTAAATATAATTCTACTGTCCTAAAAGCTTATGTCGATAGTTAACTTAAACACCATTTCTAAGATTCCATCCTTCAGTGTAGCATATATAAACAGAATGATCCAATACAATATTAGAGCTCTAAGAAGCGGTCTTGTAGATTAAATTGGCGAAACCGCTGTGAAGGTTTACCACTGATGAGTCAAGCTTTCTTGTTATTTTTTCATCTCAGTAAGGACAGTAGAAGTTTGATTTATTTGTGAAAAGAAACATTGGCGTCTTAATGTCTTCATTTGTTATATATAGATGGCGTGTTATTGCTTTGTATTAATAATAATGTGTTTTATCTTCCACGATTTCATGGATCTTTGTTTTTCTAAGAGTAAATGACCATCACATTTACATATTATTTTATCTATTTACAAGGTGGAAGGAAAGAACAATCTACATTATTATTCGGTAGTTGTAACACTATATATCTGAATGTACGTCTCTCACTATGGAAAGATAAACTTTTTGCGGTAGAGCTGCTCATCCACACTTTTCGCTGTATTCCTTTCTTTCAGACTTGATGGATAATAGATCAGCTATTTTAAAGTTTTTTCATTTTTCCAAGACTGCAACGAAGAAAAAAGACCTAACAAAGTAACTGAACTGTGTGGAAATATTTTTTCTTCACAAGATGCAACCATTTACTTAAGGTATCTACAGGAACGTCAAGAGGTTGCATGAGATGTGTGTAGGGTATCTACCCACGAAAGAAGAAGTCAGATGGCCTTCAGGAGGTATAGAGTAGGCGTTGTGGCATCGGAGGCGTCGTATACCATGTCGACACCAGAAGTAGTTACTAAAGTTGTTGTTTTAATACCATTATCATTATTATTATTTCTCGGTCGAGCTGATTGCTTCAGGGCACGTCCCCAAGTGGCAGATAAGGGAATGACTTTCAGATGTGAAGGCCAGCTGCGAAACAATCAGAATAACTCTGACAAATGACAAGCAGTCGCGGACCAACAACAGTATTGTTAGAAAGAGGAGAAAGACCTCTTTAAAAATCCTGAGTTCAACTGACCCGGTTGATAGACCTCAGCAAGGGTTCCTCTTCAGGGATACGGAGGTCTGTACTCATGTAAGAGTTGGCAGCAAAGGCTTCAATGTTAGGAACAGACTCCAATTACAGGCAAAGTCAGACTTACACTAAACTGTGCCTGGATCATGGTGCCATGATCAACGAAAGCTGCACCTTTACACCCCATTCCATTGGAATTCATGTAATATTTACATAAGAGGATAAGAAACAACAACAATTCCATGGTGGAACTCAGAGATCAGAAGCAGGGGAACGAACTTGAACCGAAGAACTGAGTAAACTCCCGAATAATACTTCTTTCACTACAGAGATTCACTCCAAAGAGATTTATGATGCGATGTATAAAGAATTATACAAATGAGTCTACATATCTACCTGTATTTCCCAATTCTTTCTTTCACGACAGAAATTCACTCCAAAGAGATTTATGGTGCGATGTATAAAGAATTATACAAAAGAGTCCACACGTCTACCTGTAGTTCACAATCCTTTCTTTCACGACAGAGATTCACTCCAAAGAGATTTATGTTGGTGTGTGCGACGCATAAAGAATTATACAAAGGAGTCCACAACCCTCACAAATTCTTCGACATTATCATCAAACATGTTCCGAACATGAACTCCCCAAATGGCAGGGATCTGTTTAGATTCAAGGCGGCTTTAAGCTCCTGATCCGGATGTGCCCTCAGAGAGGGCTACGTCGATTGTAAATATCTCTCTTCATTCCTACCATTATTATTACCTTATAACTTCCTTTGAGTGTAAAGATTGACGAGATGTCAATAAAGTTGTTTAATTGTCAAAAAAAACCCTCTCCCGTTTAAAACTTCACCAAAACAAGTTTTATTTTTGCATTACTTCAGTTCAGGAACGTAAAGGTGAAGATGTAAAGAATGTGCCATAATGTTAGCTTTGACATTTTCAAACAAAATTCAACCTTCAAAATAACTTATAAGACTATATAAAGACATTGATATAATAATGAAACTGTAGATAAATCCTTGTCTCTATTCCCCACATAAACACATTATTTAGTAAATGAAAACATTAAGAAGCGAATGTTTCTTTTACACATCAATCTTACTTCTACTCTCCTTCATTATCACAGGTTTGTGGATTTCGATAAATTACAAAAAAAGTATAAACCACCGCAACTCTTTATTAAAAGTACTACTGCGAGGAAAAATATTGAGAAGGCTTGGCTCATCAGTAGTAAACCCTCCCAGCGGTTTCGCCAATTTAATCCACCAGACCGCTTCTTAGAGCTCTAATACTGTATTGGATCGGTTCGGTTCCAAAATCACTTTATTGGGTACTGCTCAAAAAGAGAAACTTAGTTTATTTAGTTTATTTTAAGTTTGAATTATTTGTGAAAAGAAACATTCGTGTCTTTATGTCATCATTCGTTATATATTGATGGTGTGTTATTGCTTTGTATTGATACAAATATTGTTGACATATATGCGATTTCCTTGCAACAATGTCCATATCTCGACACAGTCCATAGAAAATGTTGCTGAAGAGTATATCAAACCATCTGAATATTCTTGTAGAATAGATTTGCCCTTGGTTGGTTGGTTTTCCAGAAATGTCTTTCATTCCCAAGGCCGTAACAGCATCAATTAGACACAAAAGGTCTCAACAACTTGTCATTTCAACCAATTAAAGAAATTCGTCTTTGCCGGTCCCAAGCCCGGATGAAAAAGGAGGAGGGGGAGCAGTAACAAGCTCACTAAAAACCTGGGCTCAGCTGGCCATGCTGATAGTACCCTGTAAGGGCTCCTAATCCAGGGATACAGGATGAAAAGCGCTTGTACTCCATGTTAGCAGCAGCTGCACATGGCGTCTGTTCCTCATGACAGAGGCGGCCATTTCTTTTGGAGCTAAGTCAGCATGCCATTGAGTAGTGCTTCAAGTCTTAATGACAAAGACAGACACATTCTACTTCACCCAGTCATGAAGGTTGTCAAACAGACACCATCAAGGGTCACAACTTGATATCCTAATATGATTGAGTGGAGTTAAGAAAGAAATTCGTTTAAAAAAACTTCCTATTTATATATATTACACGCCCCTACCTTTGAAATTATCCTTTAAAAAATTTCGTATTAAATGTAGAGATTGCATCTCTTTATGCAGTATTTTTAGGTAAAATTTAGGCTTAACGAACTGAAATTTTGCATAGAATATATTAGCGAGGAAGTCAATTAAATAAATAGTATTTACTATTACAGCTATTAAGAAAAAAAAGGGCAAATCCTGTTAATGAAACTAAAAGTTGATGATAGCTTTCGCCATCAGTCGGAATAAATATCAAAAGATATGGATAGATGACGTAAGTCATCAGCAACTTTTATATAATGAAAATTTGCCGGGAGTAAATTGATCCATAGAAGCATAGAGCACCTCTCCCGTCAAAATAAACGTCAAAACCTGACGCCATCTATTGACTGTTGTCGCAAACTAGCGGCCTAGAGTCAGTGACAAAGCCACAACACCAGCTTTGGAATTATAGACGGAAATTTTGCCGGGAGGAAATTGATCCAAAGAGATACGGGTCGCTTCTCCCGTCAAAAAAGACGTCTAAAACCAGGCGTCATCTATTGACCGTCGCCGCAAACTAGCGGCCTCGGGTCGGTGACAATGCCACAACACCAGCTTAGGCAAACTGAAAGGCGTCCACCTAGACCTGGTTTTAGACGTCTGTTTTGACGGGAGAAGCGACCCTTGTCTCTTTGGAATTGTTGTGACTTTGTCACTGACCCTAGGCAGCTAGTTTGCGGCGACGGTCAAAAGATGGCGTCAGGTTTCGACGTTTATTTTGACGGGAGAGGTGCTCTATGTTTCTATGGATCAATTTTTAGTTACACGATTAAGAGATGCCCTTTTTTTCTTAATTTATCGACCTGATCCTGCTACAATTTCTCTTTTGTACTATTTTTCATTGTAAAACAACATTCGAAAATTATCCCGCATGTGT